CTCCTGCCCTCGTGGCAGGACCAAATACTGTCTAGACCATCCCTGATAGACATTTATCCAACCTACTCTTAAATATCTCCGGAGATGGAGATTCCACAACCTCCCTGGGCAATTTATTCCAGTGTTTGATCACCCTGACAGTTAGCAACTTTTTCCTAATGTCCAACCTAAACCTCCCTTGCTGCAGTTCAAGCTCATTGCTTCTTGTTCTATCCTCAGAGGCCAAGATGAACAAGTTTTCTCCCTCCTCCTTATGACACCCTTTTAGATACCTGAAAACTGCTATCATGTCCCTCCTCAATCTTCTCTTTTCTAAACTAAACAAACCCAATTCTTTCAGCCTTCCTTCATAGGTCATGTTCTCTAGACATTTAAGTATTCTTGTTGTCCTAGAAAGTTTCCATTTTGCAGAAAAAGCATTTTCCATGAGAAAATAATTCAGACAAAATTACCAATCAGCTTTAGCTGAAGTCAATGGTAGTTTTACCAATGAGTTCAGTGGGAACAAGGTATGTCAAAGCTAAGCATTTTTAAAAATTCCCCATAGATCAGTTGGCTATGAGTGTAGAGTTCTTTATAGAAGGATTTCTCCCTCTGTAACATTAAATTGATCTAAGGACGTGCTGAAAAGTCTCTTTTTTATAAAGACGGCTAATAAAGAAATTCAATTAATCAACAGATAAAGAAGAAATAGCATTTATGCTGTATTGTACTTTCATACAGATATGCTCAAGTCTGATCCTTCAAACCTTACTCAAGAATGCAGCCATCCTGCAGTCAATAGGACCATTTCCACATATTCATTCCCAAAATTAAAATAGTGATAGAAATGTAGCCGTGTTAGTCTGGGGTAGTTGAAGCAAAATGCAGGACAATGTAGCACTTTAAAGACTAACAAGATGGTTTATTAGATGATGAGCTTTCGTGGGCCAGACCCACTTCCTCAGATCAAATAGTGGAAGAAAGTAGTCACAACCATATATACCAAAGGATACAATTAAAAAAAAGAACAAATATGAAAAGGACAAATCACATTGCAGAACAGAAGGAGGAGGCGGGGGGGTGGGAAGGGGGAGGAAGGAAGGTAAGTGTCTGTGAATTGATGATATTAGAGGTAGGGAGAGTGGGATGTTTGTGAGTTAATGGTATTACAGGTGATAATTGGGGAAACTGTCTTGATAATGGGTGAGAAAGTTCAAAGACTTGTTAAGTCCCTGGTGGTAAGTGTCGAATTTTAACATGAATGACAGTTCAGAGGATTCCCTTTCAAGTGCAGATGTAAAAGGTCTTTGTAGCAGAATGCAGGTGGCTAAGTCATTTAGAGAGTGTCCTTTCTGGTTAAAGTGGCAAGAAACTGTTTTCTCTTTGTGATCTTGTCTGATATCTGTTTTGTGGGCATTAATCCTTTGGCGAAGTGTCTGAGATGTTTGTCCAATGTACATAGCAGACGGACACTGAAGTGGGTCTGGCCCACGAAAGCTCATCATCTAATAAACCATCTTGTTAGTCTTTAAAGTGCTACATTGTCCTGCATTTTGCTCCAAAATTAAAAGTTATCTTAAAATATCATTAAAATGTGCATTGTCCTCAAAATAGTACAGATATAACAGCTAAAAGTCATCCTAAACAGACATTATAGGTCAGTCGTCTCCAACCTTTTTAAGCTCGAAATCACTTTCTGAATTTAAGTGCAATCCAAGATCTACCTCACACCCAAATACCCTGCCACACATCCTTTATGCCCCTTCTCTGAGGCGCCTCCCCCTGCTCACTCCATCTTCCCTCACTTTCACCAGGCTAGAGCAGAAGGTTGGTGTGGTCTTTGCTTAAGAGATTTGGAGTGTGAGAGGGGCTCTGAGCTGAGCTTGGGACAGGCAGTTTGGGTACAGGAGGGGGTTCTAGGTAAGGGCTCTGGGAGGGCATTTGGATGCAGGGGTTTTTGGGGCTAAGGCAGGGGCTTGGGCTGTAGGGGAGGGCTCATAACTGGGGTAGGGTTTTGGGATGTGGGCTCCAGCTGAGCCCTGCTTACCTCAGGTGGCTCTTAGGTGGTGGTGCAGTGGGGCTAAGGCAGGCTCACCCCACCCCCCCCCCCCTTTGCTCTGTGGAGATAGGATACAGGGTGGGAGAGGGGGCACCTTGATATCAGTGCCCCTCTTTTTCCTCCCCTGCCCTGCACAGCAAGCAGGAGGCTCCTGAGGACAGCTCCAAGGCAAAGGGCAGGAGCTGTACAGCAGTGGGGGGAGGGGCAGCTGAAGTGCTGGCTCTTGATAGCCTCTTGGCCAAACCAGTTAGGATCACCTGTCAGAGGCTCCAAAATCTACCAGTAGATCTGCTCTACTGGTTGGTGACCAGTGTTATAGGTGAAATACTCCTGCTCTCTCTACTCATGAAAGTAGACCCACTGGGATTGATGTACCTGCTCACATTTGTAAAGCAAGTAGGATTTGGCTCTATTACTTATTAACCAGAAATATTTTCATGCATACTTATTTTCTAATAATTTCCTTGCTGTTTATTCTCTTTCTGCATGCTGAAGCCAGTGCCAAAGGGCAATCAAATCACTGTTACAACTTGTTCTAGGCCATACACTCAAGATCTAGGAATGTGAATCTGTTCTAAATTTGCAAAACAATGTTGCAACTACTAAAATGCAAACAAGTTATATTGCTCAATAGAAAACTGTAATTCTCTGCTTACCAAAGCATTCTGAAAGTTCACATACTTGGAAGCACTGCACACTGTGCCTAAATTCTGCTCTTGCTGTATTTTGATACAGATAATTCTGAAGCAAACCTCAGTAATTTGCTGATTCATTACTGTTTTTAAAAAGGTACACTGTTAAAAGGAAAAAACTATTTTAGGTGTCATGTCTGTAAAATAATTGATAAATTTAAAGATCATTTTAACTTTCATCTATCTTTAAAATATGTGATAAGTGAAATTTTCTTCTGTGCAGAAGAACAAAACATAGGCTATACATTGGCATTAATTTTCCTCCATTTCCCCTGCCGTGATAGATATCACTGATATCTAAATCCATCAGAAGAAATACAGTTCTCTTCTCTAGGTGTTAGCAATCATTTAGTGTGGAAAAAACACAGAAACCCGAAGGCCTGAACTTGGCAGACAAAATGTCTTAGTTCACCTTTGCCACATCCTTATCCGTTGTTTTAAGTATACAGATTCAGCAACTATTTTTAAACTTTTCCATTTCGCCTTTAATCTCAATAGCAGCTTGCCAGCACCCTGAAGTAAGTGAAATAAATGTAATCTGCTTTTTATCTCCTTTTCCTTTTTAATGTTTTGAGTAATGTTACTTAAATCCACAACAGAGTTGGAAAAAGATTTCCTATTAGTCGGCACAATTAAAATTTTTGAGAAGCAAGAAGTTGGGAAACGAGGGAGTGGAGCAATGGTTGGGATGAAATGTCAGTGCAAGAGCCATAGAATGAAAGCTTAACTTTCTTTAATTTCTCTTTCGAGTACGTAATATCAAAAAATCACAGGACCTACTCCTTGCAAATACTTTTACGAAGTATAGCACTTACTGATTTGAGTAGTCCTTGAGTAGACTTTAATGGGACTATTCATGGTATTAAATGCTAGCACTCATTATTATGCTGTTTTTCAGAATTAGGCTAAGTTTGTTTTCTGTTTTGTTTTTATAAATTAAGTTTGAAGCAGACAGACGTGCCTTTATCATCACCATTAATTCATTTGGCACAGAGCTGAGTAAGGACGACAGAGAGAAACTATATCCAACTTGTGGAAAACTTTATCCAGAAGGCTTACACCTGCTGGCTAATGCAGACGACTATGAACAAGTGAAGTGTGTGGCAGATTACTATGCGGTATGTAAGATGTTTCAAATATCTTTCAATATTTCAGGATCTTGACTTCCAAGAAAAGCGATGCACATACAAGATTAAAATATGTTAAAGAAGTCAAATATCCAAGACATGAATCAATCACATAAAAAAGTGTATTGAATCAAAGGTCTTCAATACCTTTATTGTTCTCAATTTCTTGTATTACATTAGTGTAGTATAAGGTGCCCATCATAGAGAAATGAAAGTAGGGCCAATTCATACCTTCCTACAAGCAAAACTGTTCTCATACCACAAAGGTCACACGCAACTAAATGTATCTAATTTAATTATTGGAAAAAGTAAATCTTTGACTGAGAACAAACAACAACAAGAAAAGAAACCCAAAAGGAGAAGAAGGAAGGTGCTGGCATATAGACTGTAACAAGGAAGACAAATCTGACATTTCTTGGCGGACTAGGGTTCTCCCTTGTTCCAAGGTATTCTGGCCCCCACTTGTTCACCTCCATCTTGTAGGGAACCCAAGTCTCCCTCAGCTAGAGAATTTCTCCTTTCTTTTACCTGCATAGGGCATGAGCTGGCACCACCAGCAGTTGAGTTCATAGTGAATTCTCCTGCATTTTAAAGGACAAAAACAAACTCTGCATGTGCTGGGCTACAATATCATTCAGCCCAGTTTCCCTTCAAACTGGACAGAGCAGTGAAGTGGGAGTGGGATAAATTTCACTGGTATTGTGATTATGAAGCAGGAGTGATGTTCCAGACTGCTCTGGCAGAAGCCATACTGATTTAGTACAGGACCACTGCTTAAAAGTGATTGGGTTATGACGCTCCAGTTCCTCAACCTATAGTACTCTGAGCAAGTGTGAAAACCTTGGAGCCCAGGGCTGCGTCCGCACCTACAGCCCTTCCCTAACTGGCACCTTTGCTTCTCAGTGGTTACCTCAGGGAAGAGGGGCTTAGGCAGCCATGAAAGTGAAAGGTTGCAGCCTTCAAAATTTACAGATCATAGGGACTTACAGGAAAAGGGTCCCAGGTCACATAGGACTTTCCTGTCCACTGGCATCATGGTTCCTATCTGAGATGCGCTGCCATTGGTGAGGCATGTAACACATGCACACACAAACATTCTCTTTAAAGTGGGTGAAGCAACAGAGACTAAGCGAATATTACTTGCAGCAGTCTTGAGCAGTGACTACACTGCACTACATTAGTAGGAGATACTCTCCTGTCAACGTAATGTATTTTCACCAGCCCTGCTAAATTGGTGCCGCTGCATTGATGCAGCAGTACTGATTTAGCACAGCAGTGAAGACAAGTCTTTGAACACAAATATCTAACCACCACAAGAGGTTAATGTAGAGAAGACATGCACAGAGAAGAGTGAGGCTGATAGACCGGTCTTGAGCTGAGCCCTAGCACCACCACCAACCAGCAGTAGGTGAGTTTCCACATGGCCTGAATCTTGAGGAGACAACTATATCACAGAGCTCGCTTTCTCTCCTTTTACCTCCTGTCATCCCTTATGAGTGCCATTGGGTCAACATCCCTCCTCCTTTAACACACACACACACACACACACACACACACACACAAGCAGGGATGTGGGGACATAGAAAAGGGGGAAACTATCCAATCCTTGTAGTGAATTTTGTGGTTCAGCCTCCCTTTTGTAACATAAGTTGCATCACAAATAAATACAAATTGGCCACATACTTTGTAATTGTTAAATGTACTGTGAGTGCAAGCATGATTTTTGTGCCTCTAGTTACTTGATCTGCATTCACAAGTTGGAAGCTGCCTTTCTGAAAATGTGGTTCTAAGTCACTGAAGGAGTCCTGAAATAAATGGGTATTTATACTCATGCAAAACAAACCCTTTGTAGTTCTCTCATTTTTAAATTGTGAGGTCTGGAGGGGAAAGTAGTGGTAAAACAAGAGCAAATAGTAGTATTTTTCTCCTTACGTGCATATTTGCACGGTCCATGCATTCCAAACAACCAAGTACAATCTGCATGGGTTCTTATATACAGAAAAGTTACTTAATATAGAGAGGGTTTGTCTGACTTTGATAAATAGGATGAGTGAACAGATTATTTCCCAATGGTGGTGATTTGTGTTTCTAGGAGTACAAAGCTTTGTTTGAAGAGGTAGGAAGTGGTACTGGCGAAAAGACATTGGAAGATGCGTTTTTCGAATATGAGGTAAGATGTTCTACCTCTAAATGTATTACTATTATAATTGTACTTAGCTATGGTGGGAAGTGGTAGTGGTCATTCAGTTGATAGTGCTATTTCTTCTGAGTCTGTACTGCCCCAATATGATGTCAGGACACATTGGATTGATATAGCTGACATGTTTGGATGTTACAAAACAGGTTTCATTTTCTAAATACAACAAATGTCAGGGTATAGATGTAAAGCCTAATGGTCTGGCCAAATTTCACCTCAAGCAATTATAAAACACTTATAGAAATATCCTCTGCATTATCCATAGTAGAAAATATTCATTTCCAGCCCTAAACTCTTGGATAATATTGCAGTGATTTGTTAAAGTTGCTACAATTAAACTGGACATGGCTGCATTTTTATTATGATTTTAGTGGGCAAATCTCTGGTTATAGTTAGTTAAGTTTGTAAAGTGCTTTAGAATCCTATTCTTTTTTAATGAAATATTTTAAAAATAATTCCTATTTAATGTTTTTCCTTAGGTAAAAATGAATGTGCTTGCATTTAATAATCAGTTCCATTTTGGAGTGTTCTACGCTTATATAAAGCTGAAGGAACAAGAAAGCAGGAATATTGTCTGGATTGCAGAATGCATTTCCCAGAGACATAGAACCAAAATTAACAACTACATTCCTATTTTCTAATTCAGATAATTTATAATGTTAAGGTACATAAACAGAAACAATTTGTGAATATAAAGAAAAGCAAAAGATTAAAGATTTTTACCCATTTTTTAAATAATGTTTTAATTGTCAATTGTCTGTTTAGCACAATGGAAGCAGAACAATAGAAGATAATAGAAACAAGTATTTTTCCTTTTATCAGATATTTAATTATTTGTAGCTGTTGTGCCCCGCAAATGTGCCCATGTTAATTTAGTTGGTCAATAAAAATTGACTATAATTGTCTGTTTATTCTTTGGCTCCCACACAAATATAAGTGTAATTTCTATGTTTTGCACTAGTAGTTTTTGGAAATCTCATCACAGCATTTACTTTGGAAGACCAGCAGTTTTCCCAAAAGACATGGTTTAGTGCATGACAACAGAACTACCATTTCAATCTAGACCATAGTTAAATGAAAATTAAGGGTTTTTTCATGTTGCTGTTCCTTCAAGGCTTGCCTTACAAGGGATTCTGAGGGATTAACTGGGGGAAGAGTGAGACAGACAAAATTTGTGACAACCCTCTTGCTACTCTTCTGCCATTTTCTTTCATCTATGACGTGTGCACTAAACTTCAAGTCCCAGAATCATGGAACAAGTGGTGTGTAAAGGTCAAAAGACTGTAATCATGGGGGGCACTCATATACCATTTGTTAGGTACTATACAAGAATCAAGATGATTATATCCATTCAAACTTTAGAGGAAAAAAGACAAATTCATTGGAAAGCTGCAACTTAGATAAACATCTGTTAAATTCCAAAGTAACTGAGAAGTTAAATACCAGAATTTCTCATGCTGTTTTGGATACTTATGACTCATATAGAAAAGTAAAGATGTTAATGTACTGCATGAATCCTAGGACAGAAGAATACTACAATTTTAAATTATTTTGTAATAATATGAGCTGACAGTTTTCTATAGGAACATATTAGGAATTTATTAAAAGCTGATGATTAATGAGGAAAAATGAGTCACTTTTTAAAATAAATTCTCTGGGTCTATTTGGTATCTCTGATCCACCCTATCTGGTACAAATTATCAGAAAACAAATTACTACTACTATAAAAAGACAATATGCTGACATATAAAGGGTTTGCAGTATTCCATTTTTGGTATATGTAATTGCCTGCTTACATTATTATTTTCGCTATGTTTTCCTAATTTATATTTCCTATGTTACTCCATGACCAAAACTTCTTAGTCTGCAGCTACATTATATATAGGAAGAAAGAAGACTAAAATGTCTTTTAAAGTCTTGCAATACTCTTTTGCTAATAGGAATTAAGGAGCTTATTTACAGTCTTATGAAGAATGAAAAACGTAGAGGACAGAATTAACAGGTTCATCACACAGGAACTAAAAGTAAATGAGTCTGCACTAATAATCAAATCCTCCCTACTTGTACAAACTGAGTGAACAGTCTTTGTGACAAAGTTTCTCTGAGAAACTTGGAGTGGAAAGTATTTCAGGGCATTAGATGCCAATTGAGGCAGTGGTCAACTGCTAGGTCAGTCTATGGATAGATGCAGTGGTATTAACTTATGTATTTAATTATTTTTTGTGTTAAAATAATAACAGCTGTTGAATATTGCTTCCATGAGTAGCTTTGTATCTGGACTAAATTTGTCAATTAAAAACTAGATTAAACCACTTTCTATTCCACACATAGTCTTTTTCATCTCTTTTTTTTAATGCAATCCCTGAATGCAAAGCAGGACTGATCTTTCTGGGTTAATTCAGGGTTTCCTCAAACTTTATTGTACCATAACCTTCTTCTGACAACAAAAATTACTACATGACCCTAGGAAGGGGGACTGATGCCCAAATACCATGGCCCCAGACAGGGGAGAGCCAAAGTCTTAGCCCTGCTACCCTAAGGGATGGGGTGCTAAAGATTGAGGACTTCATCCCTGGGCAGTGAGGCTCTGACTTTGGCTTCAGCCCCAGCAAGCCTAATACCATCCCCGGTGACTACATTAATGTGGAGGTCACGATCCACTTCAGGGCTTCAACCCACAGTTTGAGAACCAGAGTTTATCAAAGTGTTCCGCTTCCCACAGCTCCCCTTGGCTGCAAATGGCGAACTGCAGACAATGGGAGCCTGTAGGCTCTGTGGCCACGGAGTCGGTAAATAAACACATTATTAGCAGGTTTCTCAAAGTTAGCAGGTTTCTCAAAGTGGTTTTGCAGACCACTTTGAGGCTATGTCTAGACTGCAGGCTTCTTTCGGAAGACGCTTTTCCAGAAGAGATCTTCTGAAAAAACTTCTTCCGAAAGAGAGAGTTTACACAGAGACGCTTTTTCAGGAGAGATCTTCTGAAAAAACTTCTTCCGAAAGAGAGCGTTTACACATCAAACGTGCATTGAAAAAGCAATCTGCTTTTTTGAATGATAGCATCCACATTGAATGGATGCTATATTGCATTTAAGCTGTGATCACTATGGATGGAGTGGCCACAAAGGTATCTATGCTTTTTCCTCTTTCCTCTTCTTTCAAAAGAACTCCCTCTCCCCATCCGCATACACCTTTTTCCAAAAGAGCTCTTTCGGAAAAAGACTTCTTCCTTGTAGAAAGAGGTTACCAATGTCAGAAAAAAACCCTTTGTTCTTTCGATTTTTTTTTTGAAAGCATGTGATTGCAGTGTGGAGATAAGTGAAGTTTTTTCAGAAAAAGGCTGTTTTTCCGAAAATACTCCACAGTGTAGACATGCCCTGAGAAACATTGGTGTATATGCTTGCCATGATCACACTTAAAACTGAAAAGGTACTTCCCACTGGAAGATTACAATTATAAGATAGGACAGAATTACTTGGTTTAAATAGTCTGAGTCTGTTAATCTCAGACTGCCCAATTTCGAGACCTAAGATACAGAGAAGTCTGCTGAGATAGCAAATGCATGTTGTTTGAGTGAAGATAGTAACTGGCCACCCCACGCCACCCCATTTGACCTTCCAACAGTATTGTGAAGCTTTTAACACCAAAAGTTAGATTCTTCTCCAATGATTTCAGAAACAAGAACAGCTGAGACCAAGATCAAGCCAATAAAATGCCATGGTAGCAGTGCTTCATCTTCAGCACATGGAGGGCACAGAAATTGAGTGAAAGTAAATCAAGGGGGAAAAAAGATGGCAATAGTACTTACAGGCAGTTTGGAATGGATGGCATGCATCTTCAACTGATTTCAGAGAAATCATTCTGTAAGCTAGGAGGAACATTTTCCAATAGCAAGAAGAAAATTCCACATCATAAAACCATAGGAAGAGTAAGAAAAACCTCAAAGAAACCAACAAAAATTTCTAAATTGAGACTACACTTGGAGAAATATATTGAAGTTTCATGTTTTTTGTGACTTTCAGATCAAAATTGCTTAGTTTAAATTTTTTTTATTTGTGTTACAACAAGCCATAGAGAATCAAACTGTTCTGTCAGGTTCAAATACAAATAGCAATTCTGTATTAGGAATCAAATTGACGAGCGAGAATAGAATCTGTCTTACTCCCTCTGGGTATGTCTACACTACCCTCCTAATTCGAACTAGGAGGGTAATGTAGGCATACCGCACTTGCAAATGAAGCCCGGGATTTGAATTTCCCGGGCTTCATTTGCATAAGCCGGGCGCCGCCATTTTTAAATCCCGGCTAGTTC